ATCTCAACCTTACTACACATTTTCTAATCATCCTGATATCTCTGAGGTATTGCCCATACCTCAGGTCTTGCCTGTACCGACTTTTGAGGGACCTACGGTATCTTCTTTATCTCCATTTATAGTGCCACCACTCCTAACTTACCATCGGCGTCCCCGTCCAGCAATAGTCTCCAATGATTCATGTCATGTGCCGGACCCTGCTCCCACTGCGGCCTTGCCTCCTGCTAGTCAATTGATTGCACTTCAAAAAGGTATACGATCTACTCGAAATACTAATCCACATTATACTTTCTTGAGCTATCATCGTTTATCTTCACCCCATGATGCCTTTGTATCATCTTTGTCCTCTATTTCCATCCCTAAGACTACAGGAGAAGCACTTTCTCATTCTGGATGGAGGCAGGCTATGATTGATGAGATGTCAGCTTTACATTCGAGTGGTACTTGGGAGCTTGTCTCCCTTCCTACTGGTAAGTCTACTGTTGGTTGTCGTTGGGTTTATACGGTCAAAATTGGTCCAAATGGTCAAGTCGATCGGCTGAAGGCTCGCCTTGTTGCTAAAGGGTATACTCAGATATTTGGGCTAGATTACAGTGACACTTTCGCTCCTGTGGCCAAAATAGCATCAGTCCGTCTTTTTCTATCTATGGCTGTCATTCGTCATTGGCCTCTTCATCAGTTGGACATTAAGAATGCTTTTCTGCATGGCGATCTAGAGGAAGAAGTATATATGGAGCAACCACCTGGTTTTGTTGCTCAGGGGGAATCTAGTAGCCTTGTATGTCGATTGCGTCGGTCACTCTATGGTCTGAAACAATCTCCTCGAGCTTGGTTTGGAAAGTTCAGCACAGTAATTCAGGAGTTTGGCATGACTCGTAGTGGCGCTGATCACTCTGTGTTTTATCGGCATTCAGAACCAAATTTGTGTATTTATTTGGTTGTTTACGTTGATGATATCGTTATCACCGGCAATGATCAAGTTGGTATCGCTAATTTGAAGCAGTATCTTTTTCAGCATTTCCAAACTAAAGACCTCGGCAGACTGAAGTATTTTCTTGGTATTGAGGTTGCTCAGTCTAGATCAGGTATTGTTATTTCTCAACGCAAGTATGCTTTAGACATTCTTGAGGAGACAGGAATGATGGGATGTAAACCCATTGACACTCCTATGGATCCGAATGTTAAACTCCTTCCAGGAAAGGGGGAGCAACTCAGTAATCCTGAAAGGTATAGACGGTTAGTTGGAAAGTTGAATTATCTCACGGTGACTAGACCGGACATCTCTTTTCTTGTGAGTGTTGTAAGTCAGTTTATGACTTCTCCTTGTGATAGTCATTGGGATGCAGTTGTTCGTATTTTGCGATATATAAAGTCAACTCCTGGTAAAGGACTACTCTTTGAGGATCAAGGCCATGAGCATAGCACCGGATATACAGACACTGATTGGGCAAGATCACCTTTTGATAGACGTTCTACATCCGGATATTGTGTTTTAGTTGGAGGTAATTTGGTGTCATGGAAGAGTAAGAAACAAAGTGTGGTTGCTCGATCCAATGCAGAAGCAGAATATCGAGCAATGGCTGTAGCAACTTGTGAGCTAGTTTGGATCAAACAGTTGCTTGGAGAACTGATGTTTGGAGAAATCGGTCATATGGAACTTGTGTGTGATAATCAAGCGGCCCTTCATATTGCATCAAATCCAGTGTTTCATGAGAGGACTAAGCACATTGAGATTGATTGTCACTTTGTAAGAGAAAAGATACTCTCAGGTGATATTGTTACCAAATTTGTGAAGTCAAATGATCAACTTGCAGATATCTTCACCAAGTCCCTCACCGGTCCTCGTATTAATTACATTTGTAACAAGCTAGGTACATATAATTTGTATGCACCGGCTTGAGGGGAAGTGTTAGAATAGAATAGGTAAACACAATCCTACACCAAATAGGAATAGTTTATAGTCTCCTATTTGGTAAGGAATAGTATTATATAGTGTCTATAAATAGGGTTCTCTATGTAATAATTAGAACTACAATTCAATAATATTTTCCCCATATATTTCTCACAGTCACAAATGGAATATTTCTATTTAGTTTATAACATCCTCTGCCACTTTTTGTACCGAGTCGGGCCCATCTAGTAATAACTTGTTGAAATTGGAATGACCTAGATAAAAGGGTTTTAGACTAGTTGCAAAGACAAAGGGTAGTTAGAAATATTTTGGCATTATCGAAAGCTACTAGAAGAATATAGACGGGAACAAAGTAAAAAAAACAACTACCACACATGTTATGATGGCAATATGATGATAAGATTCGTTGAGTGTCATTATGGGTCAATGTTTTTCCTCTTAAAATGATAAAACAAGATAAACGAGGAGTTATCACTTCATAAGCGAAGCCATGCGCTTTAAATAATGACGTGCAAAATAATCCCAAAGATAAGCAGTCAATTTTTGGTTAAACTATAAGGAGTTGGATTACTATCAGCTTTTATTATAGCATTACATTCATACATGTTTGGTATTTTTTTCAATAACTTGTGCGCTATACATCAACTAAATGTGAGCTTCAGTTCTCACTATACTACAAGCCCAAAGATCTTGTTGTTTTTTGTACTTAGTGCACTTCACCCCAAGGAAAGTCAGTTCTCGTCTTTGCTTCAACCCCATAGATGATCTTGTTGCTTTTTTGTATTTCTTGCTTTTGAAAACATTGTAACCTCATGGTCTAGTCTTGCTTGATGGTGTGATCACTACATCAACAATGATGAAAGTGGGCCAAAAAGACTAATGTTTTCATATGAAAGGCATGGTGCTCAAAGCTTAAGGAGCTAGGTAATAGTTAAGGTTTTCCTCTTTAAGTAGAGTTCATCCTTTTCCCTTTGCGAGAAAGAATTCCTAGTCTTATCCGATGGAAAGGCGGTGAGGCAAATTTCTAATACTTAACAACACAAATCTTATGTGTTAGTCATTGTTTTCTGAGTTTAAATAGGGACGGGCTAGTAGGTGTTCAGGAACTCAATGCTAATTGAGCTAACATTCTTTTCCCCTTAACCAATCAGTGTTCCCCTTCTTCTTTTACTCTCCCTCCTATCTTATCCACCAAATGATGCACAGATAGGATGTCCCCATTCATTATGTCATTATGTCATTATGTGAATTAAATATTATATCGCAATGCAGAAACTTTCGTCAATCTATGCACTCTACTCTTGAGGTGGTCTCTACCTCAAGAGACCACAGCCACAAATCACTTGTTCGAGAAAATATCTGCAGCAAAGCAGGCACAGTCCCTTTATGTTGTTTTATCATTTTGATAGTAAGAAGGGGAGTCATGGAGCAACTGTAAAGTTGTCTCCATGAAATCAGCCACTGATGTTAGCATCAAGATAGGCTGCCTACCTACATTAATGGAGTATGGCCCTTGCCCGAATCCAGCGTAAACGCAAGATGCTTCATGCACTAGGATGTCGTTATCATTTTGACACTAAACTTGTAGATTTGATCGACTAGACTCTCTGCTAATATAAGAACATCTTATTCACGACCAAGGAAGAATGCTATCTTTTATATAAGCCTAATAATGGACTTGAATACAAGTACCATCAACATAATGTTTCTTCAAACATCGATCATCAATATCTTTAATAGTATTTGGAGTCTAATTCACAAAAGCTTAACTACCATCAGTATAATGTTACTTCAAGTATAGTTGATCAAGACCACTTATATAAATACCAAATGTTGCCTGTGACCTTAACCTAAATCGCTCTTGCCTGAAGCCATCAATGTTATGTTTTCTCACTATTAATACCTAACCTCTATGCCTCATTTAAATGTATAAGCAGTTTAGCATTTACATCAAGACACTGCACTTTAAGGCTGCATACACATCACCCTACCTAGATCCCACTTGTGGGGTTAGTCTGGGTATGTTGTTTTGTTGTGCACTGCACTTTAAGGCTGCATACACATCACCCTACCTAGATACCATCATTCTTACCACTTGAAGGAAAAGTTGATGCTTCTTGAAGAACTATTACTCCCAAATCTCCAAGTTGATTAAAAAATATGAAACAGCCATTTTACAATTAGGAGAAAGCAACAACATCGAATGTTATTCCATTCATAATCAAGTACCCACGATAAAGCTTGGATTACAAAAAAAATAAATCCTTAAAACAATCAAGAAGTAACAAAATGCATCTGTCTTTCCTCATGGCTATAGCCTACATGTACTGTATAATAGCTAATGATTTGCAAGCTTTCTCGAGGTATCACCTTCTTAATTCCATGCCAAGAGAAAGATCAGGAAATCAAGAGATCTTGATTTGATTAGGGAGTTTGCTGCATTCCAGAGCAGGAGCCGGTAAAAGAGCCTGATAGGAAGATTAGCAGAGAATCCGATATGAGTTTCCGCTATAATAGAGAACTGTTTAATTGTCCTTGAATAACTAAAAACAGACCAACATTTTCATACACTCACAAAAATTGGCATTCTTATTTTGGGTCAAAAAGCATTCTCACATAAGCAATTTTTTTATTCACATCTGCAATTACCAAATAATTTAGGCTATAGATACATTCAGTCATGTATCCAGAGTTCTTGTATACACCAAATAAAACCTCATCTTAGGGGAAATATTTCATATCCTTAAAGCTGGGCATGAACGAGGCTGTAACCTAATCCATAAAAATACTTGATGTTCATGATCGAACATACAAAGTTAAAAACGATATTAATTTTGTGTTGGTAATTGCTACACGCATACAACAATGAGCACGTTCTGCACAAGGCGCTGAGAATTCTGAAAAAGTATGCAACTGATTCCTCCAATGAAGGAGGCTTTTCTTGCAGATTTTAGTTATGACCTTAATGCATGTTAAGTCAACATATAAGAGTGGAAACTACCTTAGGTGAGCTCACATGTATTATCAAGACCAAAGTCAAGATATTCTGAAACATTAATGCAAGGTATTTGAAAACAATAAAACGAACCTGCTTCACAAGGATCTGGCACCGGAAGCACAAAATTTTTAGGGGTATCGCCATTTGGTTCCATCTGCATAGTTTGGTCAAAGTAAATGCCTTGTCCCTCTCCCTCATCCTGGAAGGAATAAAACCTTGACAGTTATGTCACAACATTAAAAAAAATTGTTGTTGTATCAGAAATGTAAACATACTTTGGCCTCCCACTGTTGAGGCATATTTGGAATCTGCTCCATCAGGAGGCTGCATGACACAAGAAAATCTAAAAGAGTTAGAAATCTTCTGATTCACCAACTTCAACAACCAAATTGATGCTTTCACTATGCAATATCATAGCAATAACTAGTTATCTAGGAAGATTAACACAGAGAATTAGATAAATTCAATTTTACGGTCATAATTACATTGCGCAAGACCCAATGGACACATGATTTTTTCAAGAACAAAGCAGCACAGATATAACATGAAGTTACATGAACAAGACAAACACTAAAAAATAAAATACATCAAGTGCAGAAACGTTGGTTCGGATTAGCAATAAACATAACAAGTTATTACCTAGAATCAGTTACAAACGCCGCCCCCAGACTCGGACGATCCACGTCAAGAAATCTTAACTTAGGTGTCACTTCGTCCTCAGGCATCCTCAGATGGCATGGCTCTTGCGATCTCTCAGGACTAAATGCCGGCACCACAAGAGATATATTATGTGCCTATAGTTCAGACAAAAGAGTGACATCACAAGGGAGACATTATAATCTATAAAATTAAGACCAAACGATGCATCGTAGGAGAGCTAACTGGTGTAACAGAATGAGAAGAAGATGTTGGCACAGCATAAGGGACTTGAGGTACCACATTGTCCATAGTAAGTGCAGCCTGATAATTTATAAAAAAAACATTCATTTAGATTATAATAGTCTCAAAAAGAAGATAAATTTAAGAGAAAATGGTCAAATGGATTTGAAGTAAAGGAACTATTAGTAAAAAAATAATTTTACTAATTTTTGAGATATAGTTGATTGATTGAGATTTGAGATTAATAATTAAAGGAACTATTAGTAAAAAAATAATATTTTTTTTGGTGGGTTCAATTGGATTTGAAGTAAACCCATACTGATTTTTCTCAAATCAGATCCAAAGTATTTTGGGGTGATATAAATATATGTAAACTTATCTACAATTGATTTAGGTTGATTGATTTTGCAAGAGTTTTACATGAGTTAGAAAATTTGTTTGGATTCAACAATAGTGAATCCGGTGAAGATGGTGGTGGCAGCACGACTTAGAGTTGGTGAAAGATGGGAAATTTGTTTATATTGCTCGAGAAGAAAGAAAACAAATAAGAAAAAAAAAATTAAAAATGCATATATTTATTGAAAAGAGATATTAAAAATAAAGTTTTAATAATAGTTTTTGATGCTCACTCTCCCAAAGAGAGTGAAACACACTCACTATGCCAGCTAAGCATTTAGGGAGGTAATAATTTCAGTTTTAAACAGTACAGGGTGTGATAGGACCTTGATAAAATTAAAGTGTGTAGTTGAGAATCCGGATATACGTTGAGGGGGCATTTGACCATTTTCTCTAAATTTAACTTAGAAAAGTTTAGGGAATACCTCAGCATAAGGATCTTGGGCGGACTGATTAGAGATGAGCATATCATAGAACACATTCCACCAGTCCGTGAGAAATGACCCTGGAGATTTTGTAGCTGAAACAAATCGCAGAATTAAACAATTGTACATTAGCACATAACCACAAATCAAATGATCAGTCACTATGTTGTGCACATCCCTCCAAAATAAAGAAGAGCAACTAATACAATTTTATAAACACGGAAAGCATTTTCAAGAAAAAATTGACCCTAGAATAAGTGCACCACAACATTCAAAGAACGGCATTATCTATCATTCCCTCCATTCAATTTGTAAGGATACTTTTGGTATGTTACACTCTCTTTAACCCAATTTATATGGCATACTTTACTTTTTCATTTGTCCCCAAAAAATGTCACATTTGTATATTTAAAAATACTTTAACATTCTCACGTTACTATGATGATTTATAGTCACACATGTTTAAAGCTTATTTTAGACCACATCTATCAAAGGTCTTTCATAAATTTTATGGGCCAATGAAACATTAATACAAACTTAGAGAGAATAAATTTAATTTGTGTCACAAGACTTTCTTTTTTTCTCAAACTATGTGTCTAGTCAAACACCATATAAAAACTAAAATGAAATCAAAGGAATAACAAGGTTCTTAAAAATAACATGATCATCAATAAAAGAGTAGACCGATGCACGAAGCATCCTGCATTCACCCAAAGTCCAGAAAAGGCCCACACCCCAAGGGCATGTGACTAAGGAAGTCTACCCAAACCCAAGCAGCAGTGGCTAATTTAGCGTCTCACCCTGAGTTATAGGTCATGCGGAGACAATTTTTAATGAATGATAATCACGATTAAAGAGTTCAAATCTGCCATAGATTTAAAGAAAGACTTACCATCATCTGTGGGATTTTCAACATCAACTTCACTCGCGAATTCCTTGGCAGACTCACGCATCCCCTTCTTAACAAAGTAATCATAGATGCACTTGTCAAGCCTGGAGAATTTCCAAAAGAATCTCATTAATTTGATGTAAATTGTTTTCCCCTAAAACATTTTCTCGATGAAGACGCCTTCCAATATTAATTAAAAGGGAAAAGAATCAAATTTGACCATATACTATCTAAAATTAAAGGCAAAGTTCCTCCTATGCACGGGGTTCAGGCAAGGACCGGACTACAAAGGTCTATTGTACACAATCTTACCCTGCATTTTTGCAACAGATTGGACCAGAACATAAAGGTCAAGTTTTCGCAGTCTTACCCTGCATTTTTGCAAGAGATTGTTCCTACGACTTGAACCCGTGACTTTCTGGTTGCAATGCAACAATTTTACCACTTACTCCAAGGCTCCCCTTCCACTTGGTGAAAAATTATTTTCTTATATGTTACGCTTGTTTTGTATCACTTGCCTTAACAAATAATCATACCTTTCCTTTCAACTTCTAAAACTTAAAAATGTCATCAAAACCCTATTGAAAAAATTTAAAATATTTCCAAGATAAAGCACGTTTTACATAAATTTCTCTGATTGAAAAAAACATTCAAGCCTAAAATTAAGAGAACATAAAAGGAGAAAAGAACGTATATTATAAAAAGTTATAAACTTGTACTCACATCTTTTGAGAATTCCCCGAGTCCATGATCCAAAGAAAATGGAGAAAGAGGAGAAAATGAGAGTGAAGATAGATTAGTTAACAGGATTTGTCTACAAAAAATTAAATGGAAGAAAAGACACAAACAGACAATATATACTATTGACTATAAAATATTGAGTGATAAAAGAGACAAGAAAATGGATGCCAAATAAAGAAAAAGAAAAGAAAAATGATATCTATATTTTCACTATTAAAATGGGAAAAAATTTATTACAAAGTGTGTAATAAAAAATATGGAAATCAAATGAATGATAATTTACATACCAACAATTGTATTGACTTAAAGAGATTGAGAAAGAAAAGAGATGGAGAAAAAGAAATCTACATTTTCATTGTTAAAATGGAAAAAAATTCATTATAAAGTGTGTACAGAAAAAAAGTATGGCAGGTAAACAATGCAGTAAATTGAAGGATGAGCAATAATTTGGTTAATAAATAAAATAAAAACCATATGCACAAAAGAATTCATGGTAATAAAAAGTATTCCTGTTTCATCTCCACAACTAAGATTTTCTTTAAGATTTAAAGCTTTTTCTTTTTCAATCAATTAATTCATATTACACTTTTTTTCCTTTAAGAATTTTCCTTCTATACCTTTTGTACGAGGCAGAAATAATTTTATTTGTTTCTTATCCATGTGACTCTTAAAGTCATTGGACAATTTTAGAAGTTTTCCTGAAAAGAATATTGAGAGAAGTTTAATAGAAAAAATTTTAAGGTGTCGGGTATTTAAGAAAATTGATTTGTTTGCCAAATTTTAAAAAGGATCTGAATTTAAATTCTTAACTATTTGAGAACATTTCTAAAAGTGTTTTCAATGAATATTTTCAAAAAAGTTTATGAAGATAATCTTAGGACCTTGTATGGTCAGAGACTTCAAATTTATTCCTAGAAATTTCCTTTGTTTATTAACTCCAAAGTGAAGAATTAAATTTTTTTAAAAGAGATCATATAGAAAATGCGGAGAATTTCTAACACTAAGAAAAAATTACATAATAATTTAAAATTACTGGAAAGACGCCTTTTTTTTATAAATTGACGAGTAAAAGGGGATGAAAAAAGTAAAAGAGAGGGTTCTTTTTTGTGAGGATTTATATTTACAGTCAAAAAGATTTACGAAGTAAACATGACTAGTTTGTGATCTTAGCATGGAATCAATCAAGTGTAAGAAATAAAGGTGAAATTTGTCAGTAATTGTTAGAGAATTTGTACAAATTAATTAGGTAATTGTTCAACTGTGCAAAAGTTACATAGTAGAATTCACTTTTTATAGGGTATGAATGAGATATTTCAATTAAAATTTGTTGTCTTTTATCAACTAAAATTCATGTTTGCACAAGAATCAATTCATTGTCTTTTTCCCTTTTACTTGTAAGAATTGGGTTCTCTTCTCCTATTTGACTTTGCTCTACAACCAAAACTATTTTGCATCAATCACAAGCAAAAGTTATACTAAAAAAATAAAATTAGCTACAAACTCGTCACTTGAGTGTAGCTAATTTAAATTTTTGAATGTAGTTTTTGTTTAGAATTCATGCTAAATAGTTTTGTTTGGTAAATCAAAGTCAAATAAGAGAAGGGCGCACAATTCTTACAAGTAAAAGGAAAACAAGGCAATGAATGAATTCTTGTCCAAACATGAATTTTAGTTGATAAAAGATAAGAAATTTTAATTGAAACACCTCATTCAAACCAAAAAAAAGTAAATTCTACAAGGTATGTGACTCTTGCACAATTGGACATTTACCTAATTAATTTGTACAAACCCCTTAACAGTTGCATGCAAATTTCACCATTTATATTTTGCACTTGATTTGCTAAGATCATCAACTAGTCATGATCACTTCTTTAATCTTTTTGACTATAAATATAAATCCTCACAAAAAAACTTTTTATGTTTACATACTTCATCCCCTTTTACTTGTCAATTTATAAAAAAAATATACTTTTTCTTTTACTTGTTCACTTAAGCAATTCACCATTAACATTAAGTAATCATTTTAACTAATTGAAGTACTAATAGTCAATTCGTTCTTTTTTTAAAGCTCGTGCCCACATAAATCAGAAAAGAGGGAATGATATAACCTAACCTCTACAGAATCCATCGTGTCTTTAGTCATTGTCTTCACATCATGGACTTTCTTTTGTACTTTATCTGCAGTACTGGTCTCTGATTTCTTCTTCGATTTTCTTTGCATTTTTTGCCATGGATCTTCCATGCTTGTTTTAGATTTCTCGGTCATCTCGACGATCCTATCCCCTGCATCTTCCACAGTCCAATCGTCATTGAATCCTTTATCATAGTCCGATTTTCTTTTATATTTGTCTGATGCATGGTACTCCTTCAACATACACATGAACAAGAACAAAACGTTAGAAAAAGCTTCCGTTAGCTGCAAAAACTATACTGTACTCTTTCTCAGAAAATTAAAAGAAGAGGATGACACTACAAAAGGTATATAATATATAAGTATTTCCAATGACTGTGTAGCCTGAGAGTTTCACGATTCATGCATTCAAATTATAATTGCTTCAAAGAAATGAATTTAACTTTGAAAAGCTTAGGTGACACCTTAACATATGATTCTTGAACATGCTCTGGAGATTAAAGATGAATATATCTGGAACACATCCCCCAATTTGCCAAAAATCCCTCTCAAGAACTGATAGCTAAAGAAATCTCAAGAATTTTAGTTACTTATGGGATTTGTTTTTACAATCAATTCTCCAGGGGATCTCTAGCAGAGTGGTGGGATGGGTTCTATGATATATTCACCTTTGAGCAGGCCCAAGAATCCTATGTTGAGGTTTCACCCGGTTTTCTCAATTAAATATCTCCTTAGTTAAAGCAATTATAATTGTGTGAGTTTCTGAATTCTCAGGCTGAACAGTCTTAAATAGAGTGTGCTAACCTATATCCCTTCTTAAATGGCATCTTTTGCTCTTAATTTTACAAGATCAAATATCAGAATCTAATGTCTACCTCGTGATACAACCATTCTGTCCTAACACTGACACCTAAATACCACCACTTTTTAAACAAGTGGTATATCCGCTCTAAATCACAAGTTGAGAAGTATATTTTCCCCCTTTCCCTTGTTAAAATCACCAAACTTGGATAGACAGAAAATATTAGCTTATCCAATCTGCCACTTGATGTGAGTTTTCCTGTGAGAACAGGATTCAGTTTTCGACAGTTGTTTTTTTACTTGGAAGTACTAAGTTATGGTTAAAAAAATTGACAATTAATGACAGCAGAAACGAACTACAGCTAAACATGCACGCAATATTTACTTTTTCTGTTGATGTGAAAAATCAATAGGAAGTACAACAAGAAATAAATAAGAAACCTTAAAGAACATATAAATTCCACCTGCAGTATTTAACTAAACAACGTAGCATGAATCTACTGAATGTATGGCTCTTCTGAACCAAATATGCAGAAGTAAAGAAATTCACCTGACCGAACATTTGGCAAGATCCAAGTCATAAAGGTTGTGGGTTAATTTCCTGCTTCTTTCCATGTATGTTCTCGCTTGGTTTCCCATTTTATCCTAAATGCTTAAAGGAATCTGAAAATGAAACTGGAGGTAAAATACAAGATGGTAGGTAACTCGCAATTCAATGAGTAAGCCAGTGGCAAAAAAGTAAATATTCTAAGCATCAGCTTCATAATCAATTTCAGCTCCTAATAACCACAGTTCTCCACTTACTTGTAGGAGAAAGAACTAAGTGGTATTTTAAGTCACTCGAGATTCATGGACTTACAGAGTAAACTCTTATCATTACTTAAATCTGCAATAAATTCTTGTTTGATTTCATTTTGGTCCCATGTGAACCTATAACCCTAATTGCCTGCCAAGTGATCCTAAATAGTGACAATTGAAAAGCTGCTTTTACAACTTAACTTGTTTGAAGAATGGTTCCAGGAAGTACATGGTGCACAAGTGATGTAGCACTTTCTAGAGAAAGCCAACATCATGCTAGCCATTTAGGGCCTATAGTTTCGACCAACTACTCCCTCCTTAACTTTACATGTCCCCTATTCCAGAAAAAGAATTTCACTTTCACATGTCACTTTTAACATTCAAGAAAAGATAATTATTTTTTCCTATTTTACCCTCAACATTAATTACTTATTTCTCAAATCATTTCCCAAGACCTACAACTATACTTCAATTAATATGGGTGTTGTGGTAAAATACTCATGCTAATCATTGTTTCTGAAGGGGCGTGCAAAGTCCAAAGTGACAAGTAAAGTTGTGAACGGAGGGAGTATGTCGACGACTGTTTAAGAAATTTAATTTACAAACTTAGGGAGGTCTTAGAACAAAAGGTGAATGAGTAAGTTTTTATCATACTAACTGTGAGAAAGGAGAAAAATATTATTGAATTGTATATCTACATTAGACTTCTTTTCCAATTAGGAAATTACATTACAATCATTTTCAAAGTAGGATTCTATATACTATTCATATTCCTATTTCTATTCCTATTCTAAGTAGGATTGTATATACTATTCTTGTTCATATTCCTATTCTAACACTTCCCCTCAAGCTAGTGCATACAAGTCATATGTACCTAGTTTGTTACAGATATAATTAATACGAGGACTGACGAGGGGCTTGATGAAGATATCTGCAAGTTGATCACTCGACTTCACAAAATTGACAGTCAATCTTAATGTGCTTAGTCTTCTCATGAAATGCTGGATTTGATGCATAATGTCGATAAAACACAAAGTGTTAAGTTCTTAAATCACAGTGTTGAACTTCCCAAACCAAGCTGGAGAAGACTGTTTTGAACCATAGAGTGACCTACGTAATCGATATACAAGGCTACTAAACTCTCCATGAGCAACAAAATTAGGTGGTTGCTCCATATAGACTTCTTCACAATGCAGCGGTCACCGGAAAGTGCTCAAAATCTTGTATAAAACATATGGATCATCTTGGTATCAATAGATGTGTCGATATTTAACAAGAAAGTCATTGAAAAATTGATCGAAACATGCTCATACGTCGGAATATTAGATTTGATGGCTCAAAAGTAGTCACAATCTGAGAAATAAAATTATATGAATAGGGTCGGAATGATGGCACAACCCTACTGAGAAAGAGAATTATAGGTAGGGTCGGAATGATGGCAAAAAAATGGCACGGAACTATGCAAATTAAATATGAGAAAGTAGTCACCGAAAGGATGGGAAGGTGCTATACAAATGAGTTATGAGAAAGTAGTCACTGAAACACCCTGTTGTGCAAATTGGATATGAAAAGGTAGTCACCGGAAAGATGCACGGTGCTACACAAACACCGGTGGATATGGGGTTGACACAAAACAGTCCTACAATGTCGTCTGAAACTGATGCACGGTCACATGTCTAACTGAGCTTTCTTCCCCTGGATATGGTGTTCATGCATATATCATTGGTCCTACTTTTGTTACATAACCATTAGCCAAACGAGTGGCATATATGGGTCATAGCCATCCCGGTAGCGGAAGCTCTTTGTTTCTCTACCAGGATAGTAGAAATTTTGATACCATGTGAGAAATATAAGAGAAAATATTACTCTCTTTGTCCTAATTTATGTGACATATTTCGTTTTTAGAAAGTCAAACAGTTAAGTTTGATCAAGAATTTGCTCGTGAAATCGTCAAATTTTTTAAAATGAAATTTATATATTTGCAAACTATGTAAAAATACTATAAGTCACAATAATTGACAATTCAAAATATTTAAAAGATATATGAAAAATTTATGGTCAAAGATAGACTTATTTGAATCTCAAAATCTGAAATGTGTCATATAAATTGGGACAGAGGGAGTATTGAATTGTGTATCTATATTATTACATTGAAACCCTATTTATAGACACTACATTACAGTCTTTTTCAAAGTAGGATTCTATATACTATTTCTACTCCTATTTCTATTCATATTCTAAGTAGGATTGTATAAACTTTTCTTGTTCCTATTCCCATTGTAATACTAACCATTCAGCTTATCAGATAAAACTACAACATAACACTTCATATGCCTATTAGTGATGTTAGAATAAGAATAGGTCTACACAAACTTACTTAGAATAGAAATAGAAACAGTATATGGTATCCTACTTGATAAAGGGTTGTATGATAGTGTGTTCTCTGTGTAATAATGTTGATACACAATCAATAATATTAGAGCATTGGTGAGAAACTTACCAAAAAAGATTGAAAACCAGTCAGCTTTCGATGACTGTCGAAGGCTGGTTTGCATTGTTTTTTGTTTGGTAAAGTGTTGTGCGAAAACAAACATCACCACAAGGTGCGGAACACTTGGGAGAGCAAACCTCAGTAACCTCCTATGAGTTTTTCCGTGTCACGCGCCAACGGAAGATCAAGATTTGCGTCACCACACACATCAGCGTGTGCAGTAGTTTTCAGCCAATTTTTCGAAAAAATTTCCCAGTGAGGTCGCCTCTTCATTCCGGGGATGACCATATATTTATTTTTTTATTCCAATCAGTTTCCGACAGTTAGATCTAATTTCCGGTAACATGGTTTGGAGCTTTTCTGTGCTTTTCACTAACTACTCTAATAACGATTATGAGATTATTATCTTTTTTTCGCACCAATGTTCGCATAAAGCTTAAGCACACCTCAATTGTTTTGGAATGTACCTACTACCTCCCACCAACATAGGTACTAGCCTTCTAGGTAAATTTGTTCACTAAGACTCGATCAAATAGGAAGAAATTACCTAGCATTTTTCGTCTCTACTTGAACTTGAATCCTAGTATATGATTTTCACCCATTTTATTGATTGCTAGCCTACACCCTTGGGTGCAGAAATTATGCAAGTATGACATTGCTTAAATTCATATCATAGATCTAAACTCGACTATTTAATACCTTTTCTTCTTGACAATATTATAATGTAGTAACTCAGAACTTCATGCTCTTTACCCTTAAGGAAGTGTAACATTGCTTTATTTCTTTTAGATGTCATGAAGTATCAATAAACACGCCCAGTAAGATCACTTGACTAATAAAAAAGAATCCTTTAGTCCCAAATTTCTACCATTGTGGTTGCAAATGCAGTAATCAAAACTACCATCCTTATTAAAAACTAGTTCCAACTAACGTCATTTGAATACCTTCTTTTCTTCTACTGTAAATTAATATTGTTAGAATAGTATTAGGTATACACAATCCTACTTAGAATAGTAATAGGAATAATATATAGCGTCCTTAGAAAAGGATTGTATTGCAGTGTCCTAGTTGGAAAAGGTGCCTATTGTAGTGTCTATAAATAGGGTCTCTCGATAATAATGTAGACAACAACAATTCAATAATATTCTTCCCTAAAATTTCTCACATGGTATCAGAGTGATCAACTTGCATGATCAGATATCTCACCAAGCTCCTCATCAGTCCTTGTATTAATTATATTTGTAACAAGCTAGATATTTATGATTTGTATGCACTAGCTTGAGAGGGAGTGTTAGAATAGTAATAGGTATATACAATCCTACTTAGAATAGAAATAAGAATAGTAATAGCAATAGGAATAATATATAGTGTCCTACTTTGAAAAGGCTTGTATTACAGTGTCCTAGTTGGAAAAGGTGTCTATTGTAGTGTCTATAAATAGGGTCCCTATATAATAATGTAGACAACAACAATTCAATAATATTTTTCCCTTATATTTCTCACAAATACTAATGTTAAGCTTAAATGTATACTATTTCTTATAGGATTTTGTAAAAAACAATCAAAAAAGCATGATAGGAAACTAAAAGACGTTAATGAAAAGCATAAGAGAATCCAGAATTTAAACCCTATAGGTTCAACCTTTAAGGTTCGTCATATTGAACCCATTGTATTTTTAGAATTATGGATCCAGAAATTCTAGTCAATCATGAGGTTCTAGTAGACTTTTAGGCATAACTTCATATTGTGCGTCGAAAGTACTGGGAGCGGACCCAACGCCGGAACACTACATCCGCCTCTTATGGAAAGTCACACTTGCTATTAACACCAAGTCTTCAACAACCATGCTCAACAACCACCCAATCATTAGAAAATAGAATGAGATTTGAGACTTAATTGGTTATGCATTTATGACGACTTGTGGAATTGAAAAATGGAAAAAGGTTTCTATCTCATTATATATTTATATCTTTAATTTTATGCTCTATCTTATTACGATTATTAGGGAAAGAAAAAGGAAGCCACGGAAGTTTATAACAGCTTGTACCAAATCAAACCCCTCTAGTAATAACTTGATAAAATTGTAATGACCTAGGTAGAAGAGTTTGAGACTACTTGCAAAGACAGAGTAGTTTAAAATATGTTCACTTTATAGGCAGCAACTTGAAGAATATAGAAGTCGATCAAGGTAAAGAGAAAAGATCAATCTCAAAAAAAAAAAAAAAAAAAAGACTTTGACATGTTATGATGGCAAGATTTGGTATGTGTGTTATTAAAAGTCATTGTTTTCACCGCTAAAAGTGATAAAGCAATCCAACAGAAGAGTTATTGCTTTATAAGCGAAACCATGCGCTTCAAATGATGAAGCACAAAGTTATCCTAACCATTAGAGGACACTTTTTGCCTCAACTAGGAAGAGTCGGATTTGTACCAACTTAATTATAGCATTAAATTCATACATGATTAATATTTTTTAATTTTCCATGATTTACTTCATTATGTACTTTAGTGTTCTATCTTATAACAATTATTAGGGAAAGAGAAAGGAAGTCACAAATGAAATATTTATATTTAGTTTATAACATTCTCCTACACTCCTTATACCAGGTCGGACCCCTCTAGTAACATCTTCCTGAAATTGGAAGGACCTAGATAAAAGGGTTTTAGACTACTTGCAAAGACAAGAGTAGTTTAAATATGTTTTCTTTATAGCAAGTTACT